GGAGGTTTCTTCCGTTAAAGGAAGTTTTTCCTCCCCACTGTAGCCAAATGCTGCTCAAGGGGGATTTGTTAGGTTTTTCTTCTCTAAGGTCTAGACCTTACTTTGTAAATTGTCCTGAGACAACATTTGTTGTGATTTGGTGCTATACAAATAAAATTGGATTGAATTGTTCTTGTTTTTTCATTGTGTTAAATGTGACACGTACAAATGATAATTAACCTGCATTCATTCTGCTATTAAAACGTGTTAAGCTCAGTACCGAAGTGCTCTGCCAAATGTATCCCTGTGTAACTACTCCACACTGAATGCATGGTTCCAAACTCTATATGAAAGCATACAATCAGTGCCTACCTCTGCTACATGTACAAATGATAATTAACCTGCGTTCATTCTGCTATTAAAACGTGTTAAGCTCAGTACAGAAGTGCTCTGCCAAATGTATCCCTGTGTAACTACTCCACACTGAATGCATGGTTCCAAACTCTATATGAAAGCATACAATCAGTGCCTACCTCTGCGTAACCGTGGAAGCATATCTACACGATCTGCTGCAGAAACCATGTGACCACACATCCCACACTTTCTTTTTTCTCAGCACTGGACTCTTGTTGCCCCTGTCTTTCCTAAACACTAGAAAGCCTCACTGTACATTACTTCAGCTGATCTTCTGGCATGGTTCATTTCAGGTGTAGTCAAAACAAACGACGGGGAGATGGGAGCATCATAACTTTAGTTTTTTTTTTTTTCAGGAATATATATTCTATACCATATATTGGTTCAGTTATGTCTATAATAGTTTTGTGTTCATTATAAAATTAGATGAATGAATTTATTTTTATTCTCATTATTGGTATACATTTTGGTGCCCCTGTCTGGCAGTTGGGGCCCTGCAGACATGATGTGTATGCATAGCAGCAGGCCTGATGTTGCCTTTTCATTGCTTCTGATTGGCTGTTTTTAAATTCCTTCAAATACAGTTTGGTCATCTTTTCATTCTGCGTCCCTTCTCTCTCCATCTGGTCTGTGTGCCTGCTCTCTGTTCAGGTGGTACTATGGGAACATAAACCGAATGAAAGCTGAGAAGCTGTTGCTGGCTCCCCAAAACAAAGATGGCTCCTTCCTGGTTCGCATCAGTGAGAGTCACAGCGATGAGTACACAGTCTCTGGTAAGCACCACTGCCACTCCATCCATCTCTGTGTCCTCAACAGGGATTTCTAACCTCAGGGTTCACAGTCTCTATATACCTTCACACCTGGTTTCCTCTCCTCATTCCTTCACTCACTGTTTTACCTTCTCCAAGCCAGGATCCACATGGTGAACAGATAGAAAAAAGTGATTAATTTGTGATTAATAGTGAGTTAACTATTGTGCAATTAATTATTACTTTTAAATATTTGAATTGATTGACAGCACTAGTAAAATTACTTTTTCAATATTGACATGAAAGGTTTTTAAAGGTACCTGATTGGACAAAGATTAAAGGCCATGACAACTTTGGGTGGCGCACAAGTACATGGTATTTTGTTTTTCCAGCTGAGCCCCACCCCTCACCCAACCAGTGAGATGTGGCTCTACAAAGACAAAAAAATACCAAGGTGAAATTACCAGAAGTGTTCAAACTTTAGCAATAATGTTTGTGCTCATGTAGGAACTCACTGCTCATAGTAGGAAACTGAGGGAGAAAATCTGTTTTCGGGGCCTTTAATTTGTTCAACATTCACCATTACATTATAGAAACAGAAACTGCTCTCTATAATGCAGTGCAGTTCAACAGCTGCATACACTGTGGCCTCCAAAGTAATTATACACTTGAATCAACACCTCTCTGAACTAGTTTAAACACAAATTGAACATTGTCACCTTCATGAAGGAGGATTTTGTTGGGTTAGACTGATGTTAGCTAGGTGCAAACTGCAAATGGAATGGATAGTTGAAGCAGTTTAAACAGTATACTGTATATTTTTCCATCGGAAAGCAGTGCTAGGCTGACTTGTAAAATGTTCTGGATAATGTGTGTCACACAGATTTGGCGCTGTCTTATAGATAAAATTAAATGTAAATATTATGGCATAGTCCAAGATTAGTTTGTTTTGGGAAATGTATTCACTTTCTTTTTAAGAATTAGATGAAAAGATTAATATTACTCTGTCAGTAAGTTAAGAACTGAGCTAGAGCCAAGATACAATTAGCATAGCTTAGCATAAGACTATGTTCAGATCAACTGCTGCCTTGCATAAAAAATACAAGGTGCCCAAATTAAATGGCACATAGCCAGTCTGTCTGCATTGCAGTGGTGCAAAGGTGGGTGGCTCTGGCAAAACCAGGTAGAGTCGTCTGGTAAAAGAGTTGAACCAGGCTCAATTTTTGGTGCAATGCAACAAGATGTCATCTGACAAAGTGCTGCACTGGCCAACCAAATACATGAAAACGTATTTCTGATGAATTACTTTGTAACAGGGACATCACATTTCTGTTGACCTTGCAAAGATAATAGGAGTTGTCACTTGGGAGTATTGAAAACTAGTGTAGAGTGTTGTGCTGGTGGATGCACCTTTAAGCACATTAATGTGTTACTCAAGCTGGACTTCCTGGATTGTATTTCATTATCTTATCGAAAACACTAAACCCCCACCAAGTCAGCCCACTACTCTGTTTTGACACAGGGTGGTTTTTGGTCCGAATCTTCCCTAATGGATGGTAAGATTGGAAAGACTATTGTAAAATGAAAGAAATACACTTAACAGCACCTAATTAACTTGATATACAGTAGTTTGATTAAGCCACGTACAAACAGGAATGTACAAACATAAAAAACAGTTTATGGTTTTAGAGTGAGTTGCATACTGGAGCTTTCACTTGGCAAACAATTTGGGTGCAGGTGTTGCCAGGCAATCAACACTATAGCAGCAGAAAAGCTGAACAGAAGTGGGTGAAGGGAAAAACTGTTGTTGGTCAGTAGGTACATTACGCAACATGTCAACTGATAAGCTAATAGGGTGTTGGAAGGCATATATTGCTTATTTGCTCTTCATTTTAGTCTTTATGCTAAACTAATCACATTGTGGCACCAGCTCAGTAACTATGCCATGTTTATATCGTATTTTTTATACATACTGTATGTTTGCAGAATGGTTGCAAATCCGTCATCACTGAAAGTTATCAAAATAAAATAAACGATTACTCCAGCCAATTCTGTAACGACCTCTATGATGTCACCAGATGCTTGGTGCTTGGAGATTCATGTGATTTGTGACTTTAAACCATCTGTTGCGCTCTCTCTCCCCTGAGTCGCCCCCAGCCCATTGCTCTCCCTGCTCCTCACTACTTTGGTTTTTTTCCCCCTTAGTAGTCGGACTTGGCTTTCTTCTGGCTCTGCACCTTTCCTTTCCTCTCCATTAACATTCCTCCTCTTCCTATCCACCCCACCCCCACCCTTCTTCAAGGTCTTCTGGGACCCAAGAAAAAATGCTGCAGTTAGATGTTTTATTTTCCCTCTACTAGTCCTCCTGAAGCATGCATCATCAGTACTCTGTGTGCATATGTGCCCGAGTGTGAAGGCAAACAGACCTTCAATCACTCTGTGTTATGGTACATTTACATGTCCGATTTACTGTGCCACTCTGTCTTTCTCACAGCCATAAAACCAGAAAAACAGTCACATCCTCATGTACATGGAGAGTAATTATAGTATTCACACTAACCCTGGCCATAGTGTTTCTACATGTATGGATCCAGCTTCTTTCAGCCATAAACCCTTTTTTGTAGGAAAGGGTTTGGATTCAGCACATTTATCTCCATGTATGCCCTGCCTGCTAGCATCTTGCACCCCGCTGTTATGTGCTGGATTGTCTCAGGGACATCTGTGCACAGCCTGCACCTGGGGTCCTGTCTGGTATGGTAGACCCCAACCTCTATTGATCTTGTACTTAGAGCCTGTTCTTGTGCTGCCAGGATTAGTGTCTCTGTGCTGTCTTTCAGTCCAGCTTTGTCCAGCCACTGGTAGGATTTTTCGATATCAGCCACTTTTACTATTTGACAGTGGTACATACCGTGCAGAGGTTTGTCCTTCCATGAGGGTTCCTGCTCTTCCTTCCCTTGTTCTCCTGTTTTCTGCTGCTAACTTTTTTATTTTAAGACTAAGTGTTCTAAGTGTTTTTACTCCTTACCTGACTCCAAAGGAGAGCTGCACAAGAATTCCTATATGCCTAGACTGTTTATGCATAAATGGCAAATAAAAATCTTGACTTGACTTGACGATAGCACCTCCTTTCATAATCACCCTGGGGTCAAAGTATATCTTCATGTTTTCCAAGCAGATATTCCTTCTTCATGAAATAATCACATTTGATCATACAGGACCTCAAATAGTGACAGCTTATTTCTCCTTCTAGATAATAATTGCTGAGTGGTAAGTTTGTGTGTGTGACTGTGAGCGCATTTAAACATATAACATGTCACTCTTGCAGTCCGGAGTGAGGGGAAGGTGTACCACTTCAGGATCCAGCGCTCCACCATTGGTGCATACTTTATCTCAGATAAGATCTCCTTCGCCACGCTGGGAGAGCTCATCTCCTACTACCAGAAAAACCATCACAGCCTGGGAGTGCTGCTGCAGGAGCCATGTGCCCAGCAGGTAGGACACACAGAGAGCATGCTATACGGCAAATATGTTTTTACTTTACTATTATTAGGATCTTCACTGACATAATGCATTCCCTGGCCCCTAAACTGAAGCTGCACCAATCAATGTTTTTAGATTAACAGGTCAAATGCTTGCAAATGAATATGGAAAAGGGTCCTTGTAGTGGTTAACCTATAGAGACTCAGCAATTGCCCTCAGTACAGAGCTTTTGTTTTATTTGGCTTCTTATTTTGGCTGCTGTTATCTGCAAGACGGTTAGCAGTTAGAATATCTAGCTTTTAACTGCTAAGTGCTCCTCTATGTTCACCAGCTAGTCTCTAGCTGTGTCTCTCAGCTGCTTGGTGCTGAGCAGGGAGTGTACTGTGGACTTTTAGAGCTCTTTCTCTGACAAGTAGTTGCCGCTATACCTGCTGTGGCCAAAAACATTGCTATGACAGCTGCAAGAGTGAACCAGAACAGAGAAGGTGTCAGTGAGACACTAAACAATGAGTTATACCATTTCACACAGTCTCACTCATTATCACATTGTCACTGTTTTACAGAAGTGAGGGTCAAACAAATCTCCTGATTTTTCAAACATGTCCTTAAGTCTAAAACTCTAATTGGTCCTCAACAAGAAGACAGAAACACAAGATCACACATAACAGAAGCATCCATATTCATCCACCATGTGTATGTAGATGTAGTTATGATGTACTTGAATGTTTTTATTAGTCATGTAAAGTCTATAATTACAGTTTGCTACAGTTGACAATTGCCTTTGCTGACCTGAGAGCGTGTCTCACACATATACATATATGAACTACAAAAGCCCACATGCACTCACCTGAACATGCATTACAATAAAAAGCATTTTATATTGCATGGAAACCTACAAGGAAAAAAACTAGTTCATTGATCCCAAGAGGAGGACTTGCATGTTATAAAAACAGAGTAGATGGGTAGAAACATGTCAGTGTATAAATATGGATAATGTATGTATAAAAATTCACAGCTATATGTGCTGTACATACAAAGACAGTTTTGACCATAGTTTTCTGATACTGCTAGTTAATCTGGCATAATACAAATACAGTATTTGAAATATCATATGTGATGCTTTATGAATACAGTTTTCTATAATGGGAATATAAAATATATAATACTATATCGCACAATGGTTATGAGAATATTACTGGTATGCATTATTTGACTGAAGACACAAACCTAGCACAATAACAGAATCACATTAATTCAAGTGCTTAGAAATGGCATTTAGATGTAGAAAATAATATGCAGGTCTCCTTATGTTTTATATACCCAGAAACTTTGGAGTCCATTTTTGCCAAAATGAATGCTGTGAATAAGTTGTCATTCTCTTGTAAAGTCTGTTTTTGTTCAGCTGTATACAACTTGTATAATACCCTTTTAGGTAAATTCAGCATTGACTTGGAGCAGCAATTTAACTGTTGACTAGAGTGTTTGGTGGTGTCCCAGTGCACAGTTCTAACACCAGGCAGCCAATTTATTAAATGCCTGCATTTAATAACTAGTTTCTAACACACTAATATAGCCATGAGCACATAAGGGCACTTAAAGTGTGCCTTCATGTAGAGTATTTGTCAACAGTCAGTCATTGTCTAAATTAATATATCACCATACATAGTTTTCTTCCTTTTTCAAGTAAGAAAAATATGCCTACCAACATCTTTAGAGCTGAGTAATTATGTATGTATCTTGTTTATTTAAGCTACACAAAGAGAAACTTAAAACAACATTTTTATTGGGAGTTATGTATTGGAACAATTTCTTGGTGAACAGTGGAAGGCAGCAACTTTGTTAACAGTATTTAATAGTTCAACATTTTAAAATTAAATAAAATTTAAAAACATTAAAATACTGGAAACTTTTCATATAATTTCCAAAAATAGCTTGTATTTAAATTGCAAAGAGACCTAGAAGGAAGGCTTGACAGATTTTGGTAATCTTTCAGTTATCACTTTATCCATTACTGTCATAATTTGTACTGTCATCCAGATTTTTCTTAGAAATATCCTTGCAATTTAGTCCAGCTACATTTTAGGAAATAACAAGGAACACTGCCAGGAAATTAGCTGGAAAATATGGGACTTGTAAAATAAAATGCTGCCATGATTTCCTGAAGCCTTGACAACACAGTGAGTTTGCCAGTTAGTACAGGTACCAGCCTTGATCATATTTGGCATCCTACACTATAGCTAGAAATACTGACCAGGTGGATAGACTGTTGTTTGTCAAGATATAGTTCCAGCACACACCAACCTCTAAAACCATAAATGTAGCTTGTTAGCATCAGTAGTATTTCTTAATGTCAGCAGCATACAATGTAAAAAGTCCTGTTTTTATTCTAGAATGTTCTAATATCACTTTTAATTTGAGCAACCTTTGTTTTGGTTGTAGGAATTTGAAAGTGCAATAAAGTCCTTGAATTAATGTTTTTGTTGTGGCAGGACATGATGCTGTGTTATGCTTTATATGCGTAAATGAATAACAAGAGGAAATGCAGTATGTTTGGAGTGTAATTAACAAGACAATAAAATATTTGGCACTGTTTTACAATAGAAGCATGTGGCAATCCTGTAAGTAGACCCCCAGTGAGCCGTTTTCTTTATTCATGGCTCATCAGTTTGAGTATGGCACCAGATTGATAACTTTAGTCTTTGGCAGTGAAAAATAAAGCTTGGCATTGAAAACAAGACCATAACTGAGAAAACCAAAACCGTAACTGAAAAAGCAAACACTGGCACTGAAGCATTTGTATTGGGGGGGGGGAATAAACAAATAAATTGGCATTTAAAGAAGTATTAATACTAGAAAAACAACAGTCTTCTGATATTTTTGTTTTCTTTTTTTGGGTCGGTGTCAGTGTTTTTCAATGCCACAGTTTTTTATCTTGCAGTTTCTCTTTCTCTGTCACTATTTTGCCATGGGGGGCGGGGATAAGGAGAATGTGATTTGCATACTCTGGTTGAGATCCACAAGGAGGTCCTCTCCCCTGAGCCGCTGTTCACATTGAAGCTTCTGTCTGCCAAGCATGGCCACATAGTTACTGCTAGAGATGGCCCAATGAGGCTTTCCTGAAGCAATGAGGCTTTGTAGTCCATTGTATCACCAAAAGGTTCATTACTCAAAGCCTCTGTTCACTAGTGACACCTGCTGTTAAAATGATGATGTGTCAATCATACCACTGAGAGTGCAAATACTGACATGCTTGTGTAACTGAAAGAGGAAATGGAAACATTGGATTTTTATTTAGAAACAAAGGTTTCAATTATATGAGATGCGTATATGCTACCCTTTATCTTACAGGGAGATAATTTGGTTTATTAATTGTGGTTTCGTATTCTCACTGTCAAGAGCTGAATCAAACATGATTCACATCCTCAATACTAAACAATAAATGAGATTAAAACAATAAACATACTGTAAAGTCTGGGCATTTTCTGCAAAGTAACCATCCAACTACAACTGCAAAAGTTTCATGAGTCTCTGTCCTTGTATCAATAGTTCAAATCCATGAATCTCAAACTGAAAAAGTCACGTCATTTTGTGAGAAACCGAGGCTGCGTTTGTCATCAACCATGTGACAGTTAGGGAAATAACACAAGCCTCAAAGTGAGGCTTCATTTGGAAACACTCCCTCTGCTCCATAAAAGCTTTGAAGCTTCAGTGTCATATGTAACATCACTAGTTATGGCAGCGGCTTCCCTGAATTCAGCTAGAGCTCTCAAACTGCTGTGCGCTTCTCTCTGCTGGTGTATATTCACAGAACTGATCTCCATTAGAGCTCACTTTTAACGTTATGCTGGTGTGGCAGAGGTCTGCTGCAGCTAGTGCTCATATTAGCTAGGCTATAGCTAATATAGCTAATGTTAGCTGTAACTGACATCAGCAGTGCACAGCTGCTTATCAGGGAATAAATGTGCAACAACTTTCAGAGTTGGTATCAAGACTTTATTCTACACTCAACAAGCTTTAATAAGATCATTTTGCCACAGCAATACTCTGGTTGAGATTCATGAGGAGAGGACGGCCCTCTCCCCTGAGCCGCTGTTCACATCGAGGCTTCTGTCTGCTGAACATGGCTGCATAGTTACTGCAGTGATCTCCCCGAATTCAGCTGGAGCTCTCAAACTGAGCTACATTAAAGCTCACTTTTAACATTATGCTGGTGTGGCAGAGGTCTGCTGCAGCTAGTGCTCATATTAGCTAGGCTATTGCTAATATAGCTAATGTTAGCAGTAACTAACATCAGCAGTGCACAGCCGCTTATCAGACTTTCTGTGGGATCTTACAGGACTGTCTCCCATACAGTAATGTTAGGTGATACTGTGTAGAACAAGGCTAATGAGTTTTAGATCTGCCTGGACGGAAAAATGCCAGTTTGGTGAACTCGGTGAAGCCGTACGACACTGAAGTTGGATTCTGATTTGACAGTTAAGGCAGACGGTACAATACAGAGTGACATTCTCCCTGTTTTTACACCTCTACTTTTATTGCCAAGTATTTCAAGAACACAAAGAATTTGACTCCAGCTTGTGGCGGTAATGTACCTATATAATGCTGTACCAACGGCCAATTGCAGCAAGGTGAAGTGGACAGCAATTGTATTTCCACCCTGTGAACCTATAGAAAGTCAGTGTCCTGATGGCTAACAAATTTTTAGCTCTAAAACTTTAACCCTGGGGGTATTTTGTCTTTATGGGGCTTTATTCAACAAGGTATGTATTTGTACATTGCCATATATGGATATGTGTGTGTGTGTGTGTGTGTGTGTGTGTGTGTACATTTCTCATCTCAGTTGTGTTTGCATTCACCATAACAGGCTAACTGTCTGGTGAAATGATAACTTGCTACAAAGCGTTGCATAGGCAAACCATTATCTCCACCAATGTTACATAGCATTTATCTCACTGCATGCGTTTCTTACAGGGTCTCTGATTTGCTGTGCCACAGTCAGGTTATGATTCAGA